GAGAAGAAGGGAGAGGGATAGAGAGTTAGAAACACCGATGAGAGAGAAACATCGATCAGCTGCCTCCTGCACACTCCCCACCAGGAATGTGCCCGCAACCAAGGTACATGCCCTTGGCCGGAATCGAACCTGGGACTCTTCAGTCCACAGGCCGACGCTCTATCCACTGAGCCAAACCGGTTAGGGCGAGATCCTACTTTTTTACTGCTGCATAGTATTCCATGGTATAAATTTACCACAGCTTTTTTATCTACTCATCTACTGATGGGCACACGGGCTTTTTCCAAATCTTAGCTACTGTAAATTATGCTGCTATGAACACAGGGGTGCATATATTCTTTCTGATTGGTGTTGTGGGTTTCTTAGGATATATTCCTACAAGTGGGATCACTGGATCAAATGGCAGTTCCATATTTAATTTTTTTGAGGAAACTCCATACTGTTTTCTATAGTGGCTGCACCAGTCTGCATTCCCACCAGCAGTGAATGAGGGTTCCCTCATCAGCCCTTGTCATTTGTTGATTTGTTGATGGCAGCCATTCTGCCAGGTGTGAGGTGATACCACTATTCTTCTGTTTAAAACACCTCTCTCACCAGAACACAGGCCATCCTATTCCAAGTCAAGTATTCCAAGTAACGTGGTCCCTCCAGTTTCCAATCTAGCCCTTTTAAAGAAACATTATATTTCCTGAGAGGAATTTTAATGCTATGGGAATTTTATGACATGCTAATTATTTGAAAAGTGACAATATGTGGATGAGGTGTATGTAAATTGCATTAACCAGGACTCCAGGCATCTCAGGGAAATCTAGGTCCAAATACTGCATTTTATAGATGGGGAAATAATAGCTAGAACACTCCACTCCCCTATCACTGATAATAATAAAGCATCTTCAGTAAAAAATACAACTCCCAAATATTATCAATCTGATAAATGATATTTTACAAATAGGGAAAGGAAGAAATTAGGGTGGTAAAAAAGAAAAAAGAAAGGATGTTCCAGACAAAGATCTTGACCTGTTGATCAATCCTTATTGTACCTTGATTCTAAACCCAAGTCATTCAGCAAATGGCCCTGCGACATCCACACACAAGAAAATGAAAAAAAAAAAAAAATCAGTCAAAATGGTCAAGGACATAAATACAAGAGCAAACCATTAGAATAAAACAAAACATAGAAGTACATCTTTGTGACCTTGGATTTAGTAACGTTTTCTTAGATCTGACACCAAAAGCACAAATAACACAAGAAAAGATAACTAGAACTTAATCAAAATTTTAAACTTTTGTGCTTCAAACACCACCATCAAGAAAATGAAAACACAATCCAGGGAATGGAGACCATGTTTGCAAATTGTATATTCAATAAGGGACTTGAATCTAGAATACGTAAAATACTCTCACAACCCAACAATAAAAAGACAAATAACCCAATTTAAAAATGTGAAAAGGGTTTGAATAGACATTTCTCCAAAGAAGACATACACAAGGCCAATCGGTATAGAAGGTGCTCAACATGATTATCCACTGGGAAATGCAAAATCAAAACCACAATGAGATACCGCATCACCCCCACCAAGATGACTAAAACAAAAAAAGATAATAACAAAAGTTGGTGAGGATGTGGAAAAATTAGAACCCTCACACACTGCTGGTGGGATTGCAACATGGCACAGCTGCTTTGGTAAACAGTTTGATAGTTTCTCAAAATGTTAATTATAGAGTTAACATATGACCCAGCAATTCCACTCCTATGTATATACCCATAGGACATTGAAAACATGTCTACTCAAAAATTTATACACAAATGTTTATGGCAGCATTATTTATAATAGTCAAAAAGTGGAAACCTCAAATTTCCAACTGACAAATGAATAAGCAAAATGTAGTATGGCCATGCAATGGTATTGTTCAGCCATGAAAAGGAATTCAATACTGATACATGCTACAATATGGATGAACCTAGAAAACATTATGGCAAGTGAAAGAAGGAGTCATAAAGGGAAACATCTTGTATGATTCAATTTACATGAAATATCCAGAATAGGAAAATTGGTAGAGATAGAGAGATTAGTGGTTGTAGGGGCTGTGTGGAAAGGGAATGGGGAGTGACTGATACTAGGTAGAAGGTTTCTTTGGGGTGATGAAAAGTTTCTGAAATTAGATAGTGGTGATGATTGTACAATTCTGTATATCTATTAAAAGCCATTGTACATTTTAAAAGTGTGTAATTCTAAAGTGTGAATTTTATCATATGTGAACTATAGCTCAATAAATCTATTATTTTAAAAGTACCTCAGTCAGTGCATCTTGCTATTTTTGTTCTTGTGTTGATGGTGGCTTTTCAATTATTACACTTGTATATGGAATGAGAATTCTCACTCTTGGAAAACCACTGACGTTTCTCAAATTAAAATACAAAGAAAATAACATTTCCTTTCAAGAGATAAAGAATTAATTCTAGGTTTTTAAGGTAAAGAAATGAATTTTCCCTTTGACAATAAATAGTTTTATAATGTAGTGATACTATGTAAAAAATTTGCAACATAAGGAATTTCAACCTTAATTTGATTTGCATATTGTCTTTCCTCTGCATCTTGTACTCCAAAATGACAGTCTAACGTCAGGAAGAACTTACAGAATTACATCAGAAGATTCTATATGTTACAGAGGAATCATATTTCTTTCACATGAGCTTAGATTTAAAACAACTGAACTGCCTGCAGGATTCAATTCTCTACCAGATTATTTCCGTGTGTCTAAACCTACTTTTCATTATTGCCCCTCCTAAGAAACCTTTTAAACACTTCCTTTCCTAATTGCCCCTCTCCCTCATGAAATTTTAATACTACAGGTATACTGTATACCTATGTATGTATTCCATGTACCATTTATCTGTGCTATATCCATAAAAAAGTAAGATTTTTTCACCAATGAAACCAATTTTCACTCCCTTTAGAGTGAGACAGCCCCTGTTAAGAATGCCTGGTGTACCTTTACAATTCATGAGTGTACATATTTTATTTTCCTTACTTTATATTGATTTTAGAATGCTTTCAGTAACTCAAATTTAACATTTACTAATTTAGGTAAATAAAATTTAATTTTTATAAATTTAGATATGCTAAATTCAGATAAAATATGAGGCACCCTTCAAAGTTATTTTTTAAAAATATTCATTGACACTGGAATTTTCTTATGTTATTAACTAGGGGGGAATCAACATGTAAAAACTATATTAAGAGTACTTTAGAAATTTTCCTTAAAAATACATACATATGTGAGGACAAATGACTGGAAAATATTCATTAAAATGTTAGCAGTTATCTCTAGGTGCAAAGATTGTAGGTGATTTTCACTCTCAACTTTGCACATGCCTGTAGTTTCCAAGTGTTCTATTATGAGTTTCCATTAGTATTACAATTAGAAAATAGTTACCAACACAATATTTGTTCAAATTAGCTCAAATCAGGGAAAGTTATCATAAAATCTATTTTATAATACTAGATGTAAAGTATTTATGTAGCCTTTTAGGAAAAGGTTTTGTTTTTGTTTTCATGCCATAGACAAAGCTACACTATTTCAGCCCTTTGTCTTCCCAGCATTTTCAATGCTTCTACTGCAAAAGTATTAATCCTTAGCACATGAGACGTAGACTCTGACCCAGGCTCCTAGCCACTATCCTCCTGAAGAACCAACTCTAATGTATTTCAAAGCTACAGGGGAATCATCTAGCAAGCAAATGTTTGCTGATGAGCTTTTATAGAGAGTATATCCAGCAAACAACTAAAAGTCATTAAGCACTTGATCTCAAAAGAGCCTATTTAAATAATGACTCAGATTTGAATGTCAGCAACTTTGGGGGCTACTGAAGAAAAAATATCATGAATATCATTTGAATAACAGTTTCCACCATGCTTTTATTAGATCCTTACAATAACCCTGCGTGTCACTTGATATTTTTCCTTTTATTTATAGGTAAACATGAAGCAAGTGAAAGAAGTAGTACTCCAAAGTTTTTAATTCACAGTTTTGAGTGTTGTTGTGTGTTTTTTTTGGGGGGGGGAGGGGGCGGGTAATCATTCAATGGTAAATGAATTGAGTATTTTAAGCACGAGTAAGTAAGTGAAGCAATGGAATACTACTCAGAAATAAAAAGAAGTAACATACTAATACCAAAACAATATGGATGACTCTCAAAAGCATTATATGAATGACACAAAAGAATATACACTGTATAATTCCATTTATATAAAGTTCTAAAACTTGCAAAACTTATCAGAAGTCAGAACAGTAGTAGCCTGGGGTGGGAATGAAGGGAAAATGTGGGAGGTGTGCTTGATGGCAAAAAGTCAGTATGGAACTATACTGGGTTAAAAAATATTCAACATCATGATTGTTCAGTGATAGGCAGGTGTATACATTTATCAACATTCATCAAACAATATACTTTAAATCCATACATTTTATTGTAAGTTAATTAGGTCTCAAAAATTATTAATAACAAATTTTAAAAATACTTATGTGCTTTCTAAAAATAAAACCTGCATCACTCTATCACTCAGAAACAAGAGTATTTCTTTTACAAAAGCAAATTATTAAAGTCTGAGTCCTTCTGTCTGGGCACATATGAGGATGTAGAATTTTACCCAGTTAAGATGAAATCAAATCCATTCTCTTAAAACTGTGGGATCTTATAAATTAATGCTTAATTCAAAATCTCTCTCTCTCTCTCCCTCTCTCTCTCTCTCTCTCTCTCTCTCTCTCTCTCTCTCTCTCTCTCTCTCCTGTTTGTGCCTCTCCCCTGTAACTGCCCAGTACAAGGTCAATGTAAAGCACTATGATGGGTTCAAAAACTCAACTGCACAAGCACTATGGAGGGTCAGCTGTTCAAGTGAAAAAGTGCAGATCATTGTTGCTTAAACTTTCAGAGCTCCTAGACTGTTGAGAAACCTCCAAAGACCACAAAGGTGGCTTGGCCTCTATTTTAATACATACTTACCTGAAAGTTCTGTTGTACTAGTATGTGATTGTGAAAAGAGCTGACATGATCCTATAAAGCAATGGTAGACACATGTGGAGAAGATGCTGCAAACGAAAGCCTATGGAAGGAAGAGGATATGGGGATACAGTGGATAGACTGTGTAAGTAGCAGTCTGCCAGCAGGAAACCTAGTTAGCAGGCTGGATTGTGCCCAGCCTTGGGACAGTAAGGATGTAAATTCCCCATAGCAACAGAAAGGAAGGGAAAAGATGAGGGGTGTTTCCACAGAAGAACCTCAAGTTAGTGTCTTGGCATCCTTAGCCTGGGCCAAGTTTTATAAATCTGCAGTCATGAGAATCCTGTTAAAGTTATTCTGAAGGTACCCCTGAACCTTCTCATGATAGCTCTTGCATATTTAGAGCATGCCCATGAAAATTAAATTACTCAAAAGGGGGAAAAGCATAAGAGCGTTTTTGATGATGCAGAGCTGAAGTCTAGTTCACATTCAGGCAGGAACAGCTTGCCATCCTTGGCTGCTAGTCCATTTTCTTCATCCCTAAGATGGGAAATTATGTGAAGCTCAAAATACTCTCCCCTACAACTCTATGACTGGATACAGCTGTTCTGACAGAATATTCTAAAACCTTACTCCATACATGAAGATGTGTGCATTGCCAACACATTTGTTGAGCATCTACTCTGTGCAAGGTACATTGTTAGGTCTGTGCTCAGTCTAATGTGTGAGCAGGTGTCCAGCAGAGCCACAGTAGAAATGTAGTAGTCCCCTCTGACCCCTGCCATATTTCCAGAGCACTGCCTGTTGCCTAGGTCAGTTCTCACATCTCCTCCTCAGATCCTGAGAGGGTTCTTTCTACCCCCAACTCTACTGTATACCCCGAAACCACCATCTTTTACCTAGGGCAGCTTTCTGACTCAGTGTGTGAGTGTGTGTGTGTGTGTGTGTGTGTGTGTGTGTGTGTGTGTGTGTGTTTCAGAAGCTAAAGAATAGTAAGTAACAAATTAATACTACTAGACATGGCTTTCTAGAAAATTTGTGAGGGTGTTTATGGCACAGAAAGTGATTTCCTGAACTCTCTCTTTTTCTTGACCTTTTCTATCTCTTGCCTTAACAAGCTGTAAATCATGTGTTTTCTTAACAAAACAAAACAAGAAATGAAGAGAGAGAGGAGGGAAAGGATGGATGGATGGCTGGGGGAGGGGAGAGAGGGAGAGAGAGAGAGAGAGAGAGAGAGAGAGAGAGAGAGAGAGAGAGAGAGAGAGAGAGGATTTGAACATGAAGAAACAGAATTTCCTTTTTTTCCCCTTCTTTTTCTGAAAAATGCCTGACAGAACTATGATTGCAAACATTACCCGACACTAAACCAGATTATTTTCCATTCAAGAAGAAAAGTAAGCAACTTGGACTAAAACAGCAAATTGCATAGCCCTATTCTTTAGCATGTTTGAAATGAAAGCCAATACTGCTCTTGAAGCACTGGCTGGCTGATGAAGCCTTCTCTTCCTCTTTCTAATGCCCACCCACGGGTTGCCTGGCAACCAAATTACATTGCTGAGAATACTCCCCAGCAATAACTGACCCAGAATTTTAATTTTCCTGCTGATGTTTAAGTGGGATAAATAAATAAATAAATGCAATCTCCCTGAAACAGTATTCATTCTGACTAATAATCAGCATGTGTAGCAGATTATAGGATGGCAAATAAAACCATGCAAAAAACTGATAAATTATTTCTCTGTTTAAAAAAACACACACAAACAAAAACAAAAACACAACATGAAAAATCTAGGTAAGCTTGGAAAAAATTTAATTAAATGATTGTATGAATGTAAATTTGGGAGAGGAACTTAACCAAAAAAATTCTAACATCTATAATAATATAAAGAATAAAATGTTAACTTTTATAATACCTTAATTGGAATAGCTTTTCAAAAATAAAAAAATAACACAAAATGTGGTATACATTAAAGGTTCTGGAATGGCCACACACAACCCTAGCATTACCCTCCCTTTTCACATATAGTAGAAATGATCATTTACATGCACAAAAAAGCGGGGGCAGGTTGAATTGGAGGTTTCATATTAATGTGTAGTTGCTGCTCTGTGTTTTGAATAAAAGAGTTTGAATTGAACATGTATAAATAACTCCTCAGGGTCTTCACTGTCCTTTATTTACAACTTTTTAAAATCTGGCCTCATTGCTACTTTGGGGGCTATCAATGATCATTTTCTTAAATATTTTTTTATTAATTTCAGAGAGGAAGAGAGAGAGAGAGAGAGAGAGAGAGAGAGAGAGAGAGAGAGAGAGAGAGAGAGAAACATCAATGATAAGAGAAAATCATTGATTGACTGCCTCCTGCACACCCCACACTGGAGATCAAGCTAGCAACCTGGGCATGTGCCCTAACCAGAAATCAAACCGTGACCTCCTGGTTCATAGGTTGACGCTCAACCACTGAGCCATGCTAGCTGGGCACAATGACCATTTTTACCATTCCTTCTAGTTTTTCCTGAAAATGAAAGAGGAGTGCAATAAACCTCATCGCTTTAATATGTGGTAATATTTTGCCTGGAAACTTAAGTTCTTTTTTTATGCAATATCTGTAATTAACTCCCCCCCCAAATTTAATGAACTATAATTGGCATATACCACTGTATCAGTTTAAGGTGTACAGACAGCATAATGGTTTGATTTAGATTGTGAAATGATTGCCACAATCAGTTTAGCAGGAAACTTAACTTCTTCCTTGGAAACATTCTTTTAAGTACTCGCCAAAACAAATAAAGCAAGGACTTAGGGTTCAAATTCTGGCTCCCAGACTTATCAGCTGTGGGACCAAGTGGTACCTGTTCTTATTTCCTCATTGGTAAATGAAGACACCATTAATAACCATCTCTTTGGGTAATTGTGGGCTAAGTGGTATCTTCTAGCACAATACTGTAATGTGGTAAATACTCAATCTCATCCATTGTTATTATTGGCCATACAGTGTAGTGAAGGTTGTGATGTGCTACACTGATCCTCCTTTGGGAATGAAGGAGTTATTCTCCTGGTTTCTGGGAACGCTTTGCCAAGACAGCCTTCAACTGTGAGCCCTCTTGGAGGACTGACTGCGTTGGCTAAGGAACACTGCCTGGCCTAAGACCATTCATCCTTCCAGGGGCAGCCTAAAACCAGTGTTCCACCTGGGATATAAAGGTCCAGCCCCTTCACTCCAACCAATGACAGCTCAGGAGGGCCAGCCACACTCCAGAGTTCCCCACAGAGTTGTCTAAGGCTTTCACCCGGCCTACATCCAGCCCAACCTCACCCTCTGTCTTGTCCTGCTTCCTTCTTTTCCTTTTAGCAGCAGTCGATCCCAAGGGCACACCCTTAATAAACATCCTGCATGCCAAGCTGCACCTCAGAGTCTGCTTCCTGGGGAGCCAACCTACAACAGTGAACCAACACAAATACATATAAGAGGATTCTAAGTAATCGTGGTATATAATTGTATGTGAAAAGAGGAGGTTACCCAACTCAGCATATGGGATGATCTCAACTATGGCAAATTATATTTATATGAGCATGTATAATTGGAAAACTGCAAAGTTCACCAAGATTAACAATGTTTCTTTCTTGGGTGGCAGGATTATTTTCTTTATACTCTTCTGTGCTTTCCAAGTGTCCTACAAGGAACAAATTACTTTTCTGTAGGGGGGATGGATCTCCCAAGGTCTGAGCCCTATCTTCTACATTAGTTCCCCTAAAAAGTTCTGCTTTCAGATAGTCATGAATGAGAAGTATTTAGAATACTCCTCACCACCATAACTAGTCAGCTCACCCTCATGTTTTCCAATGACTGGGACCAGTAGGTTTCAAGTTTTAGATAAGGACTTTTTTTCAAACACAAGTTTACTCAGGCACTCCATACAGAAAGCATCTAAAATTAGGACTTGTATGATAGAAGCCAAGACTGGGACTAAGTAGGGGGAGGAGGGAGAAGATGGAAGCCTCTGCCCCTGGGTCCAAGTCTTTAAGATGTCACTTTGAAAGCCCTGAACCAGAGTCAGGATTTTTAAACTCCCAGAGCCCATACCTTCAATCTTTTTTTTTGAGGTTCACCAAATAAAAGGCTTATCAATCACCTTAGTCATGAAATGCTAGAAACCATGTTGATGATTACATGTAAATGAATCCTAAACAGAGGTTATTATTAACACAAAGCTTCAAAGGGAAAAAATATTTGGCCATATGTTATTTCAAATGTTCTAAATATTGGTCAATTCTACAACCAATATGTTGAAAAGTAGATTTTTTATAGCTTTACTGAGCTATAATTCACATATACAGTTCACACTTTTCAAGTGATTTTTTGTATATTCACAAACATATGCAAAGACCACCACAGGTTTACAACATGTTCATCACTTCAAAAAGAAACCATCTATCATTTAACTATCACCTCTCTAGGCCTCTAGGCTTCCCAGCCCTAAGCAACTACCAATCTACTTTCTGTCTCTAGAGATTTGCCTATTTTGGACATTTCATTTAAATGGAATTATGTAATATGTAGTATTTTGTGAATGGCTTATTTCACTTAGCATAATATTTTCAGGGTTCATCAATGTTGTAACATGTATCAGTATCAGATGGCTTCAATGCTGAATTCCACCAAACATCTAAGAAAGAATTAATATCAATTTTTCACAAACTCTACCAAAAACTGGAAGAGGAGAGAACACATTCCAACTCAGTATGAGGCCAGTGTTATCCTGATGTGAAAACGAGACAATCACTGTAGACCAGTATCTTTTATGAATATGGATACAAAAGTCCCCAACAAAATACTAGCCATCTAGCAATATATATGGACCCATCGTGACAAAGTGGATTTTTTTCCATAAACGAAAGGTTGGTTTACTATCTAAAAATTAATTAATATAATACACCATATAGACAGAATAAAAAAAACTCACTCTCATCTCTATAGACTCATTTGACAAAATCCAACATCCATTCATGATAAAAACATTCAACAAACTAGGAGTTGAAGGGAATCTTCTCAACCTGATAAAGGGCATCTATGAAAAGTCCACAGCTAAAATGTTTAATGGTGAAACACAGAATGCTTTCCCTCCTAAGATCAAGAATAAGACAAGGATGCCTTTTAGCTGAAACCGGTTTGGCTCAGTGGATAGAGCGTCGGCCTGCGGACTGAAAGGTCCCAGGTTCGATTCCGGTCAAGGGCTTGTACCTTGGTTGTGGGCATATCCCCAGTAGGGGATGTGCAGGAGGCAGCTGATCAATGTTTCTCTCTCATCGATGTTTCTAGCTCTCTATCCCTCTCCCTTCCTCTCTGTAAAAAAAAATCAATAAAATATATATTTTTTTAAAAAAAGGATGCCTTTTATTCAAAATCATAAAATTATACTTCTTGAGGAAATGGTGAAGGGATTAAACAAAAACAACAACAACAAACACCTCATAGACAACCCGTATGGTGATTACCAGAAGGAAAGGGGGTTTGCGGGAGGTATAAGAAGGTAAAGGAGGATAAATGGTGATGGAAGGAGACTTGACTTTGAGTGGTGAGTATACAATACAGATGACGTATTATAGAATCATACACCTGAAACCTATATAATTTTATTAACCATACCTTCAATCTTAATGATGCAATTTGAAAGGCAAGACATAAATCCTGACTTCATTGTGCTTGGAGAAACACAAATAAGAAACAAGAGACGGTGGTCAATCTTCTGTCATTGTAAAGAAGTGCCATAGGAGTCCAGGAAAAGGTGAAATGCCTATAAGCTGGAATAATCTAGTCAGAAAGGGCTTTATAGAGGAAATAGACTTTGGCTGTGTCTTTAAAAAATGAGTAAAGTTTAGCAAAGCAGAGGGCCAGAGTGAGGCCATATTGGATAAGGGCCATAGCCAAAGCAGAGAAGGAAAGTGAGTATTGGATCTGTCAGTCCAGTAAAGAGTGCATTCTTCCTATTGGAGCTAAGGATACTTGGAAAATGAGGAAATATGGTTGAGTCAACATGGTGGATGAGATTTGGGGAGGGAAACCAAGCAGTGGAATTTAGACTTCCTGATCAGGTAAAGGGGGTTCTTGAGGGTTCTTGAGAAGCTGGAGGTGATCTATTAAGTAGCTTTGTCTGACCATGATACACAAGGTGAGCCACAGAAGGGAGAACTAGACGGATGTCACCCAGGGAAGAAGCTCTGACCTTCACCTCAAGGTGCTATGGCCCAGCCTGAGTTGGTTCCTTAGCAGTAGTTGACATGCTGAATTTAAGTGTGATGACACTTATTTTCTCATGCTTATAAAAATTAATCACATGACATACAAATATCTATCATTCCTTTCTGGGAAATTTTCTTTAATATTGTCACCTGTCTTACTTTCTAATGCTCCACTGACAACTTTCAGATTGCTAAAGAGTAATAGAGGCAAAAACAAGTGAGGGTGAACCAGAAACTTAAGTGTGTGATTATCTCTGGGGCTGGGTTCTGCCTCCTTGGCTTCTGCCTCATTGAGTAAACAAGACATTTAACAATTCTGCCCAGAATGATCTGGAATAAACCTAGAATTTGCCTCAGTATACAGCACCTAGCAAATGAGTGAGTGGAAACATAGTGGGTGCCACAAAATTATGCATGGGGTTTTCTAATCCCAGGAAGATTTGATCCGTTCATGAGATTAGAATCACACGACATTTACTGACAACTTACTAATTGCTAGGTAGTTTGCATGCATTTCCTTTAATCCTTGGCACTTTATGAGGTAGGTGTTTGCATCACCATTTTGTAAACAACTAGCATTTTGTTGCCATTCATTTCTATTCACCAAAATAAACAAACATTTAATCAGGATTTTTATTTTGAAACAAAAAAGGAATTTCTTCTTCTCTCTACCTCAGTAAATTTAAGGGTTGCATTTAGACAATAAGCTTGACTCTACCAGTTCACTAAGTGGTCGCTTTTTTCTGTAGATGGTATTAAACTTGGGGCTCTATGAAAAAGCACAAAGGCTGAAGATGCAATCACTGACCTAAATTGCTTGCTTTGGAGTTTCTTCTATACTCAATGCATAGAAGAACATTAAATATCAGTTCAAGAAGGTGTGTGATAGGATCCAATGAAGTTACAGGAGCCACCTTCCAAATTCTAAATCAACAGGTATTCCCTAAATCCCAAACATCCAAAGCAGATAAGCCATCTTTGTCTATATTTCTGCCATTTCTCTTTCCTGCTCAATCAAAACCAATTAAGTTTTCCTTCTTATCACCTCTCTTTCCATTTCCCCTTTAATGACTTATTTCATGTCCTTCTCCTCTCTTGCCTGGATTTTCCCCACAACCTCTGGGCTGCTATCCCAGCAAAGATGGCTGTTTCCTCCAGACCAGCTATTTAACCCTGGCCAGAGTGACCTAGGCAAAATACTACCTGCATGATTATGCTCTTCTGCTCACACCCCTTCTGTGGCTCCCAGTGTCTTCAGAGTAAAATTTAATTATCTTAGATTGGCATTTTCATCCTTCCAAAACCCAACCCCAGCACATTTTCAGTCTGACTGCCTACAGATATTTTTCTTTTCATCTCAAATACCTGTTGCCTATTTTCCTAGCATGCTGCACCAATTTCTGTCTCCTTGACTCATTTCCACTTGTATCTCCTGTTGTGTCAACTGCCAGCATTGTGTTTTTTATCAAACCCACTCTGGTTTCACTGGGTTTTTCTCACACACCTCCTTGGACTGCTACTGGATGTTCTTCTGTGTACTCAGTATCTATCCAACTCAATGGCAAGCAATTTGGGATCAGTGACTGCATCTGCCAGACTTGGCTTTCTTCCTCAGAGCCCCTAGTTTACTGCTATATATAGAATAAGTACCTAGTTATTGAACAGCTGTTGAAAAAAAAAGTAGAGTCAAACTTATTGTCTAAAAGTAAACTTACCCTTTACATTTCCTAATTTTTGTATTGAATTCTGTAACATCCTCATTGCATGAGTTCTGGATTTTGTCATCTCTGGGTATCTCAATTACAACTGGCAAATCTTAAAGTAAAAAAACTTACACTTTAAGTTAATGCTGTCCAATGAAATGCTCTAGATCTATATCTGTGCTGTCCTATTTGTTAACCCCTAGCCACATGTGCCTACTGAGCACCTGAAATGGGTCTAAGTGCAACTGAATATTAATTTTATTTCATTTTCATCAATATAAATAAAAGAGACACATGTGACTAGTGTAAACAGTACAGGCCTAAGGATTCACAGACAAAAGAGAAAAGACGATAGATGGTATTAGCCCCAGAACTTTTCAATAACCCACTCTAAACTGTAAGTTTGAGCAATAATGTCATGAGCTTCCCGGCCCTTTTCATCAGCACAGTACACAGTTCCAGCTAGCTTTATACCTACTGGCTGTCTGCTGACCTAACAGTTCTGTTTTTATGGTCCACTGAAATTCCAGACACCCAGCTCAAGTGATCTCATAGGGAGACAAAATAAAATTCCCCCGCATGATACCTTCTCATACCTAAAGGTCTCACTTGAAACATTCTGCCAAGACCCCCACTTCTGTCATTATGCATGTTTTCCTATTTCAGTTTCAAGAAAAAAAATTATAAAAAAATACAATTACCTGTCAATATATATGTTAGTGAAGGGTGGACATGGCAAAAATAAATACCATCTACTTGTTAGCCCTACCTTAGACAAATCTGCCCATCCTCACTAAACTATATCAGTCAATATGTGGTCAAGTTGGCTAATATCAACCTCAGCTCTTAATAAAAATAACAGAAAATATTTATTGACTGTTTACAATTGCTGGAAGCATTTATATTTATCTAAGACTCACAACAACTCTGATGCAAGTGGCCCAGCATCTATTGACGCTGAGAGGTTCCGAAGCTGCTGTCATCCCCATTTTACAGATGAGGAAGTTAAGGCACAGAGAGGTCACAGGATATGCCCAGATTCATGCAGCTAGCACATAGCAGAGCCAGGGCTTGCACCCAAGCATCCTAACTCCAGTGCCTGTGCTCTTAACCACTCTGCTATTCTCCTGCTGAGCCCAATTTGAGATATTAATATTCATTCATTCATTCATTCATTCATTCATTCATTCATTCACTTCAAACTCAGTAAGTAATCAGACACTGTGCTAACTGTGGAGTGGAAAAGCCATGACCTCCCTCAGGAGCTGTAGCCTAGGACCAAGACTCTATCACAGTGACTTGTCATCTACCACCAGGTTTGCTCTGAGGACCTTATGACCTAAATGGGGAAAAAAGTACTACTAAGTTAACAAGACCAGTGAGCAGAGGGACACATATCAAGTGAGTGTTAGGACTGTTTCTGAGAATATCAGGTTTGGGGCTGAGTCTTAAAGAATGAATTAAGCCCCTAATAGAATTAAAAAGCAGGCCCAACACCATTTCAAGGCTCCAACAAAACTTCAACTTCACTCAAGATTCAACCTTCCCCAACTGGTGACACACCCTCCCCACTGCTGACACGGCCCCCCTGGGATGTTGCCTCTTGTGGGAATATCCTTTCCCACTTCTCTACCTGGGTAGCTCCTTCTCAGACATCACTTAGGATTTTGATACTCAAAATGTGGACCTTGGGCCAGCAACATTGGCATCTTGTTAAAAATGCAGAATCAATCTCAGGCTGCACTCCAGACCCACTAAATAAAAACATTTCAGCAAGATCCTCAGGTGATTCTTATGCCTATGAAAGTCTGAGAAATGCCAAGTTCAGACAGCTCGACAATGTCATGTCCTTGAACACTTGACTTGAATAAGATTCTTCTCCAGGGAGTGCCCATGAGCCCCTGGATCTTGGTCTACCCCTGAGGCTTGTTGAGTCCCCGCCTTGCCCCTGGATTCCTGGAGGGGAGCTATGGTGTCTTATTTCTCTTGGTTTCTCCAGTGTCTACAACAATACCGAGAAAACGAGAAAGGAGAAAGCATCAGTTGAACAAAAATAACTGAAGGGCTCTGAAAAACATGTGAAGGCTCTCTTTGACAAGCTAGCATCTTGTTCCCTGGAGCCCATCTGGTACTGTGTCCTTAGCATTTCTCCCTCCCAGCTATTCGGTCCTTGGATAGGAGATCCCCTTCTCTGAGCTCACCTAGCTTCAGCCTTCAGGCCTGAGGTAGGGCTCAGGGTTCTCTGAGCCTTCTGCTTGTAGCCACCTAGTCACGAACCCAGCAGGAAAACCCCAGCAAACAAGGGCGGGCCCTCGGTTGCTGAGCACAGCCACCTCAATAAAAGCAGGTTGCTGCTTCCTGTGGGGCCCAACCCGGTCTGGCATCCTACAGCTCTGGGGGTTCCCCAGTGCTTAGGAAGCCAAGGCCTTTCCCCTGATGCTTGGGTTTCTGCAGGCCCTGGGGGCACACCCTGTGGGGGCAGCTTCAGAACCTCTCAGCATCAACAGATGCTGGGCCACCTCAAGGTTAACTCCAAGTAGTCCTCAAAGATGCTGCAAAAGCAGGAAGGGGCTCTGAGCCTGCTTCTAGTTTCTTCTCAGAAAGAGACTGTCCCCTAATTAGCCTAACAAACACGCTGACTTGGTGGAGTGTCTCTAGTCTTAGAGAACAGGAAAAAAGGGCTTTACCCCTTAATAATGTCTTTCTTTTGTAAATGGGTTTCTTTTTTTTTTTTTTTTAAACATTTTTGGTAGCTACTTGAGGTTGGGTAATGCCCAAGGCTTTGCCAACCTTATTGTGATATTTTTTTTCACTTGTAACATATGTGACCACAGATGCTGCCGCAAGCATCACGTGGCTCACTCCCCGGAGCTGGGAGGGAGACACACCTCTCCTTTCCCTCTGACCACTGGGCTTTGCCTCTTCCCTTTTCTGCTTAAATTACTGAGCTGTCTGAAGTAACGGGAGTGTAGAAAAGAAGAAATAATTGTCCAGTGATTTAAAAAAATAGTAAAAACAAATTGCTTTCTCATTGTTTAAACTGTTATGAGCATTTTATTTTTATGCAATACTTCTACATGCTTATTGTAGAAAAATTGCAAAATGCAGAGAATCATAAATACCCATAATGCTGCAATGCAGAGAAAATCATTCTAACTATTTTGGTAAATTTCTCACTATACATCCATAGCCCTGGTATAATGTGTTTAGATGGAAAGAGCCTATGGATGTCATCCATCTCGCAGTTCCCACTTTCACTTCAGGAATTTCACAATACAAACCTACATTTCATGCAGTTTAGAGTTTTGGTCCCATTATGGGTGGGCTTATTGTGTTTAGATAGTTGAGCTAAAACTATATTCAATTTTGTATACTAATCATTATTTCATTTGCTTAAAAGAATATCAAGAGTATTCTCCCACGTTAATATGTTTTCAATTTTCTAATTTGTCACATTGGTTTAAATGAGATGATACATTGTTACAAATTAGGAGAGTACTATCTGTCATAATAAGGTTTAAGTGAGATAATATATATTCAAAGTTATTAGCCTAGCATATAGAAATCTTTTCATAAGTGGTAGGTGTGGCAACAAATGATTTCTAAAATCTCATTTTAATGACAGCATACTGTTTCATCCTAAGTAGCATATTTAATTATTCTTTTATTGTCCTGATCTTATTTCTAATTCTTCCCATTTAAAATTGTACCACTGCAACAGATATCATTGAATATAATTTAAATATATTATCTCACTAAAATGGATAACTATATTGGATGATATAAACACTTTGAAGGCCTTTATTATATACTAGAAGTCCGGTGCATGAAATTCGTGCATGGGTAGGGTCCCTAGGCCTGGCCGGTGATCAGGGCCAATCTGTGGGGCAACCAGCAAGGTGATTGGGAGGCTCCCACTGGCACCCGCCTTGGCTGGCCTGGCGCCGCCTGCTTGACGACCCTGCCCCCGCCGCCACCACTGGTTGCCTCCCTCTGCGGGGCAACTGGTGGGCTGATCGGGGGCCCTGCTGGCACCCGCCTTGGCTGGCCTGAGGTCTGCAGGCTAGGGGCAACTCCTGCATTGAGCATCTGCCCCCTGGTGGTCAGTGCCCGTTACAGCGACTGGTCGTTCTGCTGTTCAGTTGATTTGCATATTAGGCTTTTATTATATAGGACTAGAGGCCCAGTGCACGATCGGGCTGGGCCAGCTGGGGGTAGTGGCCATGGGTGGTTGGCCAGCCAGCCCCACCCCATGATCAAACTCCCAATTGAACTCCTGGTCTAGGGCACAATTTGCATATTAGCCTTTTATTATATAGGACTGACAAATAACTTTCTAGTGCTTGGACCAAATTTCCCACCAGACATGAGTGGGATTATTTGTCTTTCTACTTTCTACATCATCACTAGCAGTAAATTTTTTGTTTTTAAATTTGCCAATTTGATAGGTGAAAATTAGATGTTGTTGTTCCTTAATTTTGAATTTTTTAAAATTACCAATGAAATGGAAATATTGTTCCATATGTATTAACCATTTGTATTGCCTCTTTCTATGAGTTATCTCTTAAATATCCTTATAGTAAAATATTAAATAATTTGGATTTTCCTTTTTGTGTGTGGTGTTTCTCATATCAAAACTCATCAGAAACACAGTCATTTTTCACCTAACTGGAAAGTTTAGCAGTGACATAATTTGGGATTTTATTAGAGATGTATTTAAATTTAATCACATAACTAATAAATATTTGGCAAAGCCCACTGACTATGCCCATACAGTAGAGTTTAACACAGATTCTAACCAAAATTAATTAGTGGGAGAGAAAGGGGCGAGCAACAGCCAGAGTCTAGGCAGTTAGATGCCTTTGGCAGCCCATCTTATCTATACTCAGACCTCATTGAGTGTCTGAGCCTATGCCAGACAAAGAGACACTCAGAACTCAGGTGACACACCCAGCTCCCCCAGCTGGTACCCTGAGATTTGGCTGATCCATAAGAGTGAGAGGTGACATGATGGAGCACATAGTATAGGCACAGGCTGCCACTCCACACCCCCATATCTCACTGTCCCCATTTTATGAATAAGAAAGCCACAGCTTGAAGAAGGCCATGGAGTAAGTTGTAGAGCTAGAATTCAATCTTGGGTCTAGTGAACCCCAATGTGGGTACTGTCCGCCACCAAACGACATACTAGTAGCCTCCCTTAAACACAGGGTGTCCAAACACAAGAATATCAAATGTTTATCTTCTGAGAGCCTCAAATAAAACCTTTTAGCTCCAAGCTACTTACTGATTTTTATCCTGCATAGGAGCCCATTTCCCTGGAAACTTCCCGAGTCCATCAGCCACCTGGGTACTTCGCTTCCAATTGAGAAACTGACGTCAATCCCGGCTCCCAAGGAGGGGCTTATTTGCACTGGGACTCAGTTTCCTCTCCTACAAAAGGGGAACCATTCCTTGGGTGGGGAAAATGACTACAGAACATCAGATACTGAGGACTGCTTCACAGATATTGAATAGCGTCTGCCATTCATATAACGCCTGAACAATGGCCAAAATCATTGTGAAAGTCCTTTGCCAATACATCGCAGGATCTGCCTAAGTCTCGCCAAGCGTTCTGAATACCCACCCCATCAAAGCTTTAGCCTCCAGAGCCAGGTTCCCCACCAGCCTCAATCCCTACAGTGCAGGAACATGAAATACAGTGTTCCCTATAATCTACCAGTGAATGACAAGCTCCATTTCCCCCCCAAAACATATATGTAACTTATTCATAGCCTGATTTCTTTTAGGGATGACAATTTCTGAGGCATACTGATCCAGGATGCCATGTTAATTCATATGATTGGTATATATCTTTCTCTTTTTCAGCATGTGGAGAGTTATGAAAATAGCCATCCCTCTGAGCTCCAGAATCAGTTTTGTCATTTATGTTCTGTAAAAGTACTCAATGCTACCTGTCAGGAAGGAACTGAGATACACATGCTTCCATCTCTGAATCCTAAACAGGAGGGAAAGGCGAAAAGTGTGTTGTGGTAGGCCTCATGCGTTCAGAGAGTGCTGTTTCTAATTTTCAACTTGCATCTACACGCAGGAACCAGTTAGTTGGACACCCCCAACTGCCCAAAACAGTTAACCAGGTTTGCTTCTGAAAAGCAAGCTGAAGTTAACTGCTTTTGCTAAATTAAACAAACGCTGGCAGTGCTATCAGGACCTGGCATGGCCAGATGGCAGGCGCCACACCTTGCCAGTTACCAATCAGCATGCAACAGCTGGGCTTGACCAAACAACAACTGCCCTTGACCCTGCTTTTGACTATCTGTTGGCTATAAATAGAAACTGGGTATCAAAAAAAGAGAGCAAAGTACTTGACACCAGCAATTCAGGAAATCCATCTGAAAGCAACATAACCAGCTTAGTGTATTGAGCTAGTTTCTGAAATACTTGAGAATGGGAAAATATCATGTCAAATAATGGATCATTCCTGCAGCAAGAAAAGGTGGATGCTTTTATAAAATGAAGACTAGGATATTCCCAGATACATGTGTAGTCATATTGAAAACATGATGTGTCAGCGCTTGAAGTCCCCCTGGATTCAACAGTTATCAACTGATAGAGTTTGCTTAAGAAAGAGGAAAGCATATCCAAAATTCACTGTCATGCTTTTCCTCTACGAAATGATACACAGGCAAAACAAAACAAAAAACCCTGCAAGTTCACCATTCTGCTTCATGTCATGTAACTTAACCCATTTACTCAGTTTCAGATTAGAGCTAAAGACTGAGAGATGAGTGTTTTATGGAATCAGATTTGGACTGAGTAATTCTCCAAAAAAAAAAAAAGTGCCAGGAAGAGAATCTCCACATGTTATGTTATTAAATATCCATTATTTTCCATCGACAGAAGACAAGGATGGGGGAGGGGAAGCAGAAAATGACATCTTTTAGAAACAACAACCGAGATTACCTTAGATCTGCTGGAGATGGGAACCACACATTCTGAAGGAAATGAAAACACAGCTGAGCCAAAAGGAAAATGCAGCAAGGTGGAATAAAAAAAAAAAAAATAAGAAAAAAGAAACTAGCTGAGTTTGAGCTCCAGAGAGATGTGCATTACACTGTGAAATGGCTATGCCATTACATGGGGCTGTGCTTAAAGGTTAAGGGTCTCAGGCAGGCAGGCCCAGGCGCCGCTCTGTCCCCTCTCACCCTGAGCAGCTGGGGATGTCTTTCACAGCTGACAA